GATGGAAGTTGAAACAAGATTTGGAAGAAATTCTTAGAAAAGAAGAGATAAGCTGGAGACAAAAATCAAGATGCAAGTGGTTGATGGAAGGAGATGGTAATACAAGATTTTTCCATAGTTTGGCAAGTGGAAGAAAGAGGAAGAACATAGTTGAATGTTTGGAATGGAATGAGGCACTGCTAACAAGAGAGGAAGAGATTGCAAAAGCTTTTGTGGAGCATTTTAAATCCATTTATGACAGCCCCAGTAGAGTAAGAGAGACTCTAACTGACTTTGAGTGGCATGTTGGCGAAAGGGAATTGTTGGAGCCCCTGGAAAGACCGTTTGAGGTTCAAGAAATAAAGGAAGTAGTTTTCTCTATGGAAAGATCAAAAGCCCCGTGGCTGGATGGATTCACTATGGCTTTTTATCAAGACTGTTGGGATATCTAAGGTGATGACTAGTGGAGGTTTTCTTGGAATTCTTTGAAAGAGGAAAAATAAACATGGGTGCAAATGCTACATTCATAGCTTTGATCCCTAAGAAGGTGCCTGCAGTTCAGCCCGAGGACTTTTGACCTATTAGTCTGATTGAGAGTTTGTATAAAGATCATTTCTAAAGTTCTTGCACTAAGACTTAAGAAAGTCCTCTCTTCCTTAATCTCACCGAATAAAGGGGCCTTTGTGAAAGGGAGACAAATTATCGATCAGATTTTAATAGTCAATGGATGTGTGGATTACAAAAAAAGATAAAAGGAGAAAAGGGTCTGATCTGTAAACTTGACCTAGAAAAGGCTTATGATTTGGTGGATTGGGATTTCTTGCTAGAAGTGTTGATGAATAGAGGCTTTGGGGAGAGATGGTGCAAGTGGATGAAGGGTTGTATTACCTCTTGTCACTTTTCAATCTTAGTGAATGGAGTAGCTAGGGACTTCTTTCCTGCAAAGAGGGGCCTTAGACAAGGAGACCCTTTGTCACCTTTCCTCTTCACCTTAGTATGGACGTTCTATGTGTCTTGATTTCTAGGGTTGATTCAAGAAATCTACTAAAAGGTTGGAGAATTGGGAGGCAACAAATGATTGTCATTCACCTACAATTTGCGGATGATATCATTCTCTTTTGTGAAGGGGAAATTGAGGAGATGGATAATTTGAGATTGGTGGTGATGCATTTTGAGAGAGTCTCCAATATGAAAATCAATTGGAACAAGAGTTGTGTAGCGGGGGTGAATTTACGGGAAGATGAGGTGCATTTGGTGGCTAGGGCTTTAGGGTGCGAGGTAAATGGTTGGCCTCTATTTTATTTAGGTCTGCCCCTGGGGGCAAATCCTAGAACAAAAAGCTTTTGGTACCCAGTTTTGGAAAGATTCACTAAGAAGCTAGCAGGGTGGAAGAGAAATTATATCTCACTAGAGGGTAGAATCACTTTAATCAAGTCCACTGGCCAAACTTCTGGTGTATTTTTGTCTACCTTTAAGCTTGCTGCCAAGGTTGCCAATAAGTTAGAAAATCTCGTGAGAGACATTTTATTGGGAACCAGGTGACTCAAAAAAGGACCATTTAGTGAAGTGAGAAGTAGTTTCTAGGAAAAAGGAAGTGGGGGGTCTAGGCATTGGCAATATCAGATTAAGAAATGTAGCTTTATTAGGAAAATGGTTGTGGATATTTCCTTTGGAGCAGGACAGTTTGTGGCACTTGGTGGTGGAAAGTATTCACGGGATGGCAGCCAATGGATGGGATGTTGGTGTCGACCCTAGGGCTTCTCATTTCTCCCCTTAGAAAGCAATTACTAGAGTCTTGCCTTCCTTTCAGCCTTTCATCAGATTTGATGTGTGCTCAGGTAATAAAATTCTATTTTAGGAGGACCTTTGGCTTGTGAACACCCCCCTTAAGGATTGATTCTTGGTAATATATTTTCTTTCCCTAAAAAAATTCAAAACCATCTCATCACTTCATGTGTTTGAGGGGACTTGTTATTTGGGTTTGAGAAGAGGGTTGAGGGATTCAGAATTGGCTTCTGCAGATGAGTTGTTCACTGTGTTGAGTTCGGTTTTCCTAGATCTATCTTGCCCAGACAATAGAATTTGGAAAGAGTCTTCTTCTATTGCGTTTGTCTCTTTTCCTGCTAAAGAAGTTTGGCATTCTCCTGTGCCGCCAAAGGTTAGGGCTTTTTTGCTAGGAAGTGGCTCTTCAAAAGATCAATACTATGGATGTACTTCAAAGAAAAAGGTCAGACTGGTGCCTTTCCCCACATGTCTATTACCTTTGCTTAAGAAATGGTGAGACGACGACGACTCATCTTTTGATTTCTTCTCCTTTTACTTCTTATTTGTGGGATTGGTTCTCTTCTTTGTTTGGTTGCAGATGGAATCCTCCCTCGGGTGTGCCGAACCTTTTTGACTCTAGCTTCTTCCGACAACCAAGGAAAAGAGGCAGGGTAATGTGGAGAATAACAAGAGCAGCCATCCTTTGGTCAATTTGGGAAGAAAGAAACAATAGGATCTTCCTAGGGCAAGAGAAATCCAAGGAAGCACTTGTTGAGGTTGTTACCATCAAGGTTATGCATTGGCTGAAAGTACATCATCTCTTCAAGGACTTCTCCTTAGATGACCTAATTAGAAATTGGAGTGCTATAGCTGTATCCTCTCCTTCCTCCCTTGTGGTACAAGAAAGTTGGATACCACCGCCTCAGCTCAGGGTGAAGCTACTAAACTTTGATGGAAGCTCCTTGGGTAATCCAGGTCAGTCGGGAGTTGGGGGTGTGTTCAGAAATGAGGAAGAAAAAGGCTTGGCCCTTTACTCGGGCCCAATTGGGGTGGGAGATTCATTAAGGGCAGAAGTAGTGGCCTTACTTCAAGGTTTGAGACTGGCGAAACAATGGGGAATGGCAACAATTAGAAGTGGAAGGAGACTCCAAGCTGGTAATAGGGTGGATGCAATCTGGAAACTTGGGAGTTTGGTCTCTTAGACAGCCTCTAAGAGAGATTATTAGCYTARYAAGGGAGATTGGGGTGCACTTTAAATGGGTAAGAAGGTCAGCAAATGGAATGGCTGACACTTTAGCTAAGCAAGGAGTTACTAGGGAGGCTTTGTTTTGGGCTTGTTTGT